GCTGCGGTCAACGCACAGATATGCCCAGACACATGCATGCCCAGGGCCGCACTTGCCTTGAACGCACCACTTAGACCACGCTTCTCGGTGATGGGACCCCTCCAGCCCAAGCAAGGCCCAGGTGGGTCCAGTCGGCCCCACCCGGAGGCTCCCACTCCACCCATGCTTCTAGCCACTCCCTGGCACCTGCCCCCACCACTCCAGACCCTGTGGGTGCCCCCAGCATACACACCGTGGGGCTGGCAGGGGAAAGGGGTGCCAGAGGGGGCGGGATGGGCACCGCGGTTCCCCATGCCCCGCAGGCGATGGCCAACTTTGGCTGCAGCAGCCCAGGGTCCAAGCCTTCCCCTCTGGAGGCTGGCATGGGACTGAATGCATGGGCACGGGCCTGGGGGCGGAGGTACGCCCCGGGACCCCACAGCCACCAAGGGTCAGGCACTGGGGCTGCAGGAGGCCAGTGGAGGGATAGCCACTCACCAGCTGAAAAATGCAGAGGCCGATGAGCACGCAGCAGCCAGAGCAGAAGCCCATGGTGCCACCTGTGCCCAAGTCCTCCAAGTGCCCAGCACTTGGCCCTCGCCCCCACCCCTGTGGCCTCCATGGCCCCCGCGTTGCAGCCCTGCCCCCTCTGTGTCCCATTCCCACCTCCCCGTCTCCTCTGCCCCCGCACCAACAGCTGCGCCACATCTCACCCGCCCCCGCCTGCAGCCCCTGGAGACTTTGTGACAGCCAGAGAGAGGGCTCAGGACCCTCCTTAAAGGGGCGATGGCGCGGCTTCTCAGGCAGCGAGCGAGGGACAGTGCAGTGGCCCCAGGACTGACCCACAGCTGAGGGGAGCCCATCCCGGACACGGCAGGGAAGACCGGCGTCGCCGCCTCCCACCCCTAGGATGACCTGCCCAGCACTGGGCCTTCTTACTTGAGATCCCATCAACCTTCCCCATAGGGGTCCGAGTGCCCCCACTCGTCCCCGAGGGGTTTTCTTTGAAAGCCTCAGAGATGCCTTGGCTTGGAGAAGTCCTGGACCTGGATCCAAAGCTCAGAGGTCCCCTCCACAGGCTGACGGGTGAGGACTCAGGAGTAGTGAGCCGAGCTCACCCACCGCCCAAGGGAGCACACCTGCTGGAAGGCTGAGACCTGAAGGCCAGGTCTGCTCTAACTGCTCGACCCAGTGTCTGCCTGAGCAGGAGGGACCTGGGGCGCCCAGGGTTGGGACAGCCTGTGTCCCTGTGCACAGTGGACACAGGACCCAGCTGTCGAGGGGAGGTCCTGGGGACTGGGTGGGGCTGAGCCTGGTGAAGCCTGCACTTCCGGAGGAAGTTGTGCAGGAGGGAGGGGATGATCCCAGCCAGGACCCAGGGGAGCAGAACCTGGATACAGGGAGCCAGAGTGACCACCGGACCGAGGGCCTATGGGGACAGGACAGTGGGAGATGATGGCTGCCAGCCGGCCAAGGCTTCCACTTGGTCTTTACTTAGTGGCCGAGCAGGCTCCCTGACTGCCACCCACCCCTGAGGAGCCTGAGATGGGTTTCCATGGCAACCTGAATTCCTGCCTGGTCTGTGATTTTACAAATTACTGAGGATTCCTGCCTTCCTAACTTTGGTTGTGCGTTTCCCGAAGTCCCACGGAGCAGGAGGGGTTCACAAAAAACCAAGGTTCAGGTTTTCTGCTCTGTGGCAAACCACCCCACGTCTCTAATCCAGGCTCATGATGTGGGGGGGTAGTGTCCACTCCGAAGGCTGTGGAGGGAGTGGGAAGCCTCCGGATGTTTGCTGCATGGTGGGGAGATAGGAATATTCTGGAATGAGAGGGTGGTGATGGCCGTGCAGCTCTGTGAACATGCTGAAGACCACTGAGTGTCACACTCTAAAAGCATAACTGTTATGGTTTGGGGATTATATCCCAATGTTTAAAAGATGTGAAAAAATTAATGTTTATTTATACAATACATTGATTTTAAATATAGTGGTACCACCCTCCCTCCTGCCCCACAACCCTGCTTCCTCCAGGCACTTGGAGCGGTTGATGGAATGAAGGACATGACCCCTAGAAGATGACTCACAAAGGTGCCTGGTAAGCAGAGGAAGGCCCGGAGCCGGCTGCTGAGGTCCTGGGTTGGGGGGCACTCAGCCCTGCCTGTGTGCGTGGACCCTTCTCTCTCGGCCTGTCCTGGGGAGGCTGCCTGGACATGCATGTGCCTTGCAGCTCTGTCCTCCCAGGCTGCTGCTCTTCCTCTTGAAAGCAAAAGCCTTCACTCATGGAGGATGTGACGATGCCCTAGTGCCTCTCACGGGAGTGCCGGTGTCAGAGCCAGGAGCCGTCATGGGCACCTCCTGCTCCGAAGTTACAAGTCCTGGCGAAGGGCTCTGGACAGCCCCTTTGAGGGGTCCGCAGAGCAGGTCCGCACAGAGCCCGCACCCGCACAGCCTGCCCTGGTGCACACTGAGGGCAGCAGCCAGCCGTGGCGACCCAGGCGCAGTGTCAGCCGAGTGAATGTCAGAGCAGCCCTGGCAGGCCGGTCCGTTTCCACACCTGGTTTGTGGATGACAGAGTTGTGACCTGTCCCAGGTCAGTTGTTGGGGCCTGGCCACCTGTAGGTGGTGAGGTTTTCTCTGACACTTTATCTGCTCTCATTCTTGTTCGAATTCCTTCAGCCTAAGTGTGGCAGTTTTGAAAGTGGAATGGCACCACATCTCCATTCTTACACAGAACCCCCTGTGGGAAGACCCTTGCCGGAGCCGGACTTCAAGGCAGCAAGAAACAGCAATGAGCATAGCCACACCTGAGGACAGGAGGGCTGTCTCCAGGCCCCCAGCAGGACTGTCGCCTACGGGACTGGGGAATGGGGCCGGAACGTCATCGCCTGCCCACCTGGAGGACTGTGGGCAGAGCTGGAACAGTCACACAGGAAAATATCCCGCAATTTCCAGAGAGTAAAACCTGATGCTCCTACTGAGGTGTAATGGACGAGGGGGACAGTGATGGACAGTGACAGTGATGGACAGTGGGGGACAGTGAGGGACAGTGACAGTGATGGACAGTGGGGGACAGTGATGGACTGACAGTGATGGACAGTGGGGGACAGTGATGGACAGTGGGGACAGTGATGGACAGTGACAGAGGACAG